AATATTATATATTAGCAATGGAACTTTAATAAATATTCAGTCAGTTTTAGAAGGACTGCTATCACTGTTTATATGGAGATCTATTTTATCTAAGATGTAAAAGGAAAACACTGCAATTTTACTTGCTAGCATGATGTTTGTTGGGAATTAATAATAACTCTGTTTAGATTTAAAAAATATTATTGCATAAGAAGTGTAAATATTTTAACAATTAAAAAATAGGTTCTTAAACAAGGTATATGTATTTGACATGTGAATGGAAAGTTTCTTAAAATCTAATTTTAACTACCTGCCTTGTAACCTGTATGTGATGAAATATAATTATTGATGATTACTAATAAAAACTCATCAATTTATTGCTTGCCTAATAGTTATATTATCAGCTCAACAGAGAATAATTATTTCAGACATTATTGTTAGACATTACATTTAGTTTTTTTGTTTATAAGTATGTTTATGAAGGGCTTCCCTGGTGGCTCAGTGGTACAGATTCTGCCCACAAGTGCAGGAGACATGGGTTCGGTCTCTGGGTTTGGGAAAATCCCCTGGAGGAGGAAATGGAAACCCACTTCAATATTCTTGCCTGGAAAATCCCATGGACCAAGACACCTAGCAGTCTATACAAGCCATGGGGTTGCAAAGAAGTCATACACAATTTAGCAACTAAATAACAACAACAACCTTTATGAAACAGAGTCTGTGAAACTTAAGCAGAAAAACATAACTGTGAGCACATATTTTCCTCTATATGCCTCATGTATATTCGTCTGGAGCTTCTTTTGAAGTTGTGAGTGTCAAAAGATGGGAGAAGAAAGCAATGGAAAGAAATCAAAATTTCACTACAGCTGTTTAATATCATTATAAAGTCAATTCACCAATTTAGAAAGAACAGTAATAGGAAGTGGTGAGAAAAGAGATCAGATAGAATAAATTAACAGAGGTTTGAATGAAAGACTAAGAAACTAGGATTTAATTCTATTAATACAAGTCAAGGAAGTCAGTGAAATTTCCTGATCAGAGGGTTGACATAATAAAAAACCATCTTCTCAAAGATTAATCTGCGGTTCTGTCACAAATTAACAGGAGGATATAGGAATCTGGTTATAGCTGTCCTAGCCAGACTGCCTGAAGTAAAGTAGTTATTATGTAGAAGCAGATAGCATTTAAGAAATATTCTAAAGAAGAAATGGATAGAGCTTTATGACTGACATGGATGAAAAATAAGAATGAAAGATAAACTCTCAGGCAACTGGCTTACTTATTAGGGCAGGAAAGCTTACAAATATATATGTATATTTTTATGTAAGGACATCTTCTTTAAGAAAGTCATAGGCACCTATAGGATAGTAGTTTTAACTTAAAAATCTAATGATGGAGAGAAATACATAACAACAAACAACTGCCATTAACTCAATAATGCTTTTAGATGAAATTGTATTCTATGAATCACAATAGCATATGTCTTGTTTTCACTGTATACAGTTTGACTCTTCTGCATATTGACACTGATATGAATGCTGCCCTACGGGCTGTGCAGTGCACAGTCTATACAGTCTACCCTACTCTACACAGTGTTCGTGACTATAGCATCTACACATTTTTGGAAACAGTTGAGCAAAACTGGAGGAAACCCATGTATTCAGTTCTCAGTTACTATCTAATTCAGCATGGCTTCTTAGATTCTTTTCGAGGACTCCTTAATTTCCCAGGGGATGGTCATCCATAGATCTGTTACCAATAGGAGGAAGAGAACCAGGAGGATTGTTATGTTGTTGCAAACAGTGATGGGAAACTTCAGAGAAGGAAGGACTCTTCTCCCCACTAAATCTCTGGTCTCTCTGCTTTCTAAGATAAAGTGTGAGCTAAGAAGTATATACTGTATATTAGTTTCCTAGGGCTGCTATGAAATTACCACAAACTTAGTGACTTAAAACAGCAGACATTTTTTTCTGTCACAGTGTTGGAGGCCAGAAGCCCATAATCAAGGTGTCTATAGGTCATGCTCCCTCTGAAGGCTCTGGGGAAAAATCTTTCTTGCCTCTCCCAGGCTCTGATAGTTGCCAGCAATCCTCGGCCTTCCTTGGCTTTTAGCTGCATCATTCTACTCTCTTTCTGTCTTCACACAGCATTCTCTGTGTGTCTCTATCTCCTTTTCACTTCTTCTTCTAAAGACACCTGATTGGATTTAGGACCCTGTCTAACCCAATATGACCTTATCGTAAGATCCTTAACTAATTACATTCTTCAAAGACCCTATTTTCAAATAAACTTGCATTCTGAGGTTCTGGATGGACCAGAATTGTGGAGAACACTGTTGAACCCATCACACATCCCTACTAAAAACCTAAATATGTCACAGACATGCCCTCACATCTTTTAAAGAAACCATTGCATTTATACAATCCAATGTCAAGGACTTACCTTGTGTCTCAGCTGGTAAAGAATCTGCCTGCAATATGGGAGACCTGGGTTTGACCCCTGGGTTGGGAAGATTCCCCTGGAGAAAGGAAAGGCTACCCACTCCAGTATTCTGGCCTGGAGAATTCCATGGACTCTATAGTGCATAGGGTCACGAGGAGTCGGACACAACTGAGCAACTTTCACACTCACACACTCACATTGCATTTTTACAGTTGCTGAGTTTTGCAAAGGTAAAGAAGCAATATATTCTGATTCTGAAGCTGAAATAGGAAAATAAAAGCCACAAGGCTACAACTGGGAGTAGGTTAAAGCAAACGTTTTGATCAAACAAAACAACACAAGGCATTAAAGAGGCAAGGTTTTTGAGCTCCTGCTGTAGCCTCTTGAGAACACAGCCTTCCCCTGAGTGGTGACTTTTACACGTATGCATCTCCCTGCTGCTGCTGCTGCCAAGTCGCTTCAGTCATGTCCGACTCTGTGCGACCCCACAGACGGCAGCCCACTAGGCTCTGCTGTCCCTGGGACTCTCCAGGCAAGAACACTGGAGTGGGTTGCCACTTCCTTCTCCAATGCATGAAAGTGAAAAGGGAAAGTGAAGTTGCTCAGTCGTGTCCCACTCTTCACGACCCCATGGACTGCAGCCTACCAGGCTCCTCTGTCCATGGGATTTTCCAGGCAAGAGTACTGGAGTGGGGTGCCATTGCCTTCTCTGACATTTCCCTACTAGTAGTTGACAAATCCTGCTTTTAATTCACCATAAATGAAGGAAAGAAGATAGGACATAATTCCACAAGCTTGTTATCTGACTTGCTTTTCATAAAACAAAAACCTGTTTTGTGTTGTTAATTGATGTTTAAAATGTACAATTAGCTGCTATCTTGATCTTTCTTTCTGTAGTTCAGCTTATTCATTCACTGAAGCCTGCTTGGAATATTTTATCTAAAACACTCTGATTGTTTATTAATGTAGAATAGAATGGGTAGGATTTTTAAAACATTATTTTATAATTCTTTTTGAAGTTTGTATAGTTTTGGGCTTTAAAAAATCCACCACAATTTTTTTTTAACATGAATTCTTTATCCTTCATATATTTGTATAAAAAATAGAAAAGGGTTAAGTAAGAATTTCAGATATATTAAACTAGCTTTGTTTGTAAAAGCTCTTTCTTGCTTTTACATTTTTATGTAGCAAAATAAAGGGAAAATTGTGTTGCTGTAGAGATTCAGTATTTCCTTTTCTTATCTTTGCTCAGTCACTCAGTCATGTCCAACTCTTTGTGACCCTATGGAGCCCACCAGGCTCCTCTGTCCATGGAATTTCCCAGGCAAGAACACTGGAGTGGGCTGCCATTTCCTTCTTCAGGGTATCACCCAGGGCTCAAACCTGCATCTCCTGTGTCTCCTGTCTTAGCTGACAGATTTTTTTTTTTTTACCACTGAGCCACTTGGGAAACCTTTTCCTATAAAGTACTAAATTTGTTCTCCTGTCTAATTTAAATAAGAACAGAAGAAATATATTTAGCCAGAATAATAGGGTCTGTTGGTAAAGAGATGTGTAAAACTCTGCCCCTGCCACTGATGTGCTGAACAAACTAGTAGTGTTAAAAAAAAAAAAAAAGAAATTACTGTGATGCATGCTACAGTGTGTGATGTTCACATACTTTTTTGACATTATGGAGTACAAGTTGGCCGAAGAAGACTTCTCTGGGAGATGACATTTGAACTAAATGTGGAAGGGTAAAAAAAAAACTTTGCCAGGCCGAGTGCATCAGGGAATGATGTTCTAGGCAAAATAAAGAGCTGTGCTAATTCATGGAGTATGTTGTGTTCAGAAAATGATAAGAAATTTATGGTGTCTAAAGAACCGGGTTTGTGTAGCAGATGGAGCATAGCAGGAAATAAGGACAAGATGATAAAGCAGATTGGGAGCAGGTTATGTGTAGTAGGGATAATATTTTAGAAATACTAAATCACTCCATTGTAATGTCCCTGTTAAAGCATGTTCCTTTGTCTTATTGCATTTCCAAAGTCAAGCCATGATATTTACCATGCGATGGTAGGGGAAATACTGTAAAATAAAATGCCTTTGATTAGCTTTAGGTCTCAAAGCAAGCTTTCTTAACTTCTTTAAGAAGACAGTAATTGAGAGAGCCAGGTTTTATAAGAGCGAGAAAAGAACTTTATAAATTCCTCAATCTCCCCTCTTAATATTTCAAAAGCCAGCCTATATAGTCTGTGTAAGGCAAGCCAATAGAGGCAGAAAGGTTAAATTGGAAGCAGCTTCCCCTTTCAGCCTTGTGCATTATCTCAAAAGACAAGAAATAAGAAGAGTGACACCTGAAAGATGTCTCTTTCCTCTTTCCTCCGGGTTTCTGCTTTGCAACAGCAGAGGGACTGCAGGTAAAGGTGGGACTTGAGAGAGAGACGGGCTTTCATCTGTTTGTTTGCGTGCTTATAGTTATTTTCTTTTTAAAATTTTTGTTTTATATTGGAGTGTAGTTGACTTACAATGTTATATTAGTTTCAGGTACATAACCAAGTTCTTCAGTTATCCTGACACATTTATCCATTCTTTTTCAGATTTTTTTCCCACACAGATTATTGCAGAATGTTGAATAGAGTTCCCTGTGCTATACAGTAAGTCTTTGTTGATCATCTGTTTTATATATAGTAGTGTGTATATGTTAATCCCCAATTCCTAATATATCCCACATTTCTCCTTTGTTAACCATAAGTTGGTTTTCAGAGACTGTGAGTCTGTTCCTGTTTTGTCAATAAGTTCATTTGTATCATTTTTTTTTTAGATTCCACATGTAAATGATGTTCATATATTTGTCTTTTTCTGTCTGACTTACTTCACTTAGTATGAAAATGTCTGGATCCATCCGTGTTGCTGCAAATAGCATTATTTCATTCCTTTATGGCTGAGTAATATTTCATTGTGTACATGTACCACATCTTTATCCATTCCTCTGACAATGGACATTTAGGTTGCTTCCATGTCTCGGCTGTTGTAGTGCTGCAATAAACATTGGGGTATGTGTATCTTGGGGTCTCAAAGAGTCGGACATGACTGAGCGACTGAACTGAACTGACATGTATCTTTTCAAACCACATTTTTTCCAGATACATGCCCAGGAGTGGAATTTCTAGGTAATATGGTAGCTCTATTTTCAGTTTTTTAAGGAACCTCCATACTGTTCTCCATAATGGCTATACCAATTTACATCCCCACCAACAGTGTAGGAGCATTCCCTTTTTCCACATCCGTCCATCATTTATTTTTCATAGACATTTTGATGATGGCTATTCTAGCTGGTGTGAGATGATACCTCCTTCTGGTTTTGATTTGCATTTCTCAAATAATTAGCAATGTTGAGCATCTTTATGGCCTTCATTTGACAAAATGGCATTCAGAAATATTGAAACAGAAATTATTAAGACCAAGGACTTTGGACCTAGGGACTCATTAGAAGCAGCGTTGGGGAGGCCCCTGGCCTGGGAGAGCCCTACCTCTCCCTCAGTACCATGTCCAACATGGCATGGGAACCATGGTGTGTAAGTGGGGGTGTATAATGACCGCATAAAACTTGAGGCACATCTCCGGGCTGCTCTTGGCCTATACGTGTCCTGCCGTGTCCCCAGAAGTTCCTAAATGCTTTATAGAGAAAGTCTGAACGTGCTGAGAGTGCCAGTAGACCAGCATAGCCTGGAATCACAGAAAGACCACTGTGACAGTACCCAAAGGCCCTGGGCAAATGGCCAGGCTGCAGTACTGGATGCCACCACATCACCCCCAAAGGTGCACCTTGGTGCTCACTAGCCCACGGTGAATACGCATCCAGACTTGTCACAGCAGAAAGAAGCCAGTCATCTAACTAACCAGTTTCTTTGAGTAGCTAGCTGTTTTGATGTGAGGAAACAGAAATGAACAAGACAGGCAAACCTTTCTGAGGAAGTGATATTAGACTTGAGCCGTGAATTGTGAGAAGGAGGCCATGCATGCAGATCTGGGGGAAGGTCTGAAGTGGGCTATAGGACTGTGAATGAGGAGGAAGTGGCAGGAGGGGAGGTCAGAGAGGGAAGCAGAAGGAGAAGACATAGGTAGGGCCTTGTAGTCCTTGGGAGAGAGCTTGGATTTTATTCTGATTCCAGAGGGAAGTCATGAAGGGAAGTGACGTAATCTGGTTTACCCATTAGAAAGACAGTTCAGGATGCTGTGTGAAGGACTGACTGTAAGGGGCAAAACAGGGAGGCTGGAGAAACTGGGTTATAACAGCGGGAACAGTACAGGTTTGAAAGTGCAGTCAGTAGGTCTTGCTGATGGATTGGATTGAAATGTGAGGCAGGAGAGGAATGGAGACTGTAGGTCTGAGCAGTTGGTGTAGAGCAGCCATTACTGGCATGGGAAAGTTTGGTAGGAGATGAGTGAGTTTGGGGAGAGGTGGAATCAAGGGTCTTGTCCTGGCAATGGTGAGTTTGAGATGCCAATTAGGCATCCAAGTGGAAATGTCAAGTTGGGAGATGGAAATATGATTCCAGAGCAGCACAATTCAGGACTGGAGATGGAAGGCCAGTCAACAGATCATCTGCAGCATATAGATGGTATTTAAGCCACAGGCAGAATGAGGCCATATAGACAGAGAGCAAGGACTCCTCTCCTCACCACCACAAGATGCTTTACCACCCTCTCTTCCCAGTTTAGAGACTCTTAGAGAGTAATAGTGGAAGGAGAAGAAATCTGAGACATACTGAGCATCCTATAAAAAACTATACAGTCATCCAAGTGGATGTTTAAAATTATTTTACTGGATTATATTTACAGGTTTAGATTAAAATTTTCACTTTCTTTTATCTACTACAGTGTAAGGACTTAACAGATCAGCCCTAGAGAAAAATAAAGAAAGTTCATTTTCTTTGATCATCTGAATACACTTTTAATAAATCTGATATAGCATCTTCATATGTAGTTTTAAGCCTGATAATTCTCAAAATAAATATTCGTCCTTGTTCAGCTCAGTTCAGTCGCTCAGTTGTGTCCAACTCTTTGTGACCCCATGGACTGCAGCTAGCCAGGCTTCCCTGTCCATCACCAACTCCTGGAGCTTGCTCAAAGTCATGCCCATCGAGTCAGTGACGCCATCCAACCATCTCAGCTTCTGTTGTCTCCGTATCCTCCAGCCTTCAATCTTTCCCAGCTTCAGGGTCATCTCCAATGAGTCAGTTCTTCACATCAGGTGGTCAAAGTATTGAAACTTCAGCTTCAGCATCAGTCCTTCCAATGAATATTCAGGACTGATTTCCTTTAGGATTAACTGCTTTGATCTCCTTGTAGGCCAAGCAACTCTCAAGAGTCTTCTTCAACACCACAGTTCAAAAGCATCAGTTCAGGGCTCAGTTTTCTTTATGGTCCAACTCTCACATCCATACACGACTACTGGAAAAACCATAGCTTTGACTAGACGGACCTTTGTCAATAATATCCTTCCCTGCTTTTTAATATGCTGTCAAGGTTCATCATAGCTTTTCTTCCAATGAGCAAGCATCTTTTAATTTTGTGGCTACANTCAAATGAATTCTTTTTAATGGCTGAGTAATATTCCATGGTGTATATGTACCACAGCTTCCTTATCCATTCGTCTGCTGATGGGCATCTAGGTTGCTTCCATGTCCTGGCCATTATAAACAGTGCTGCAATGAACATTGGGGTGCACGTGTTTCTATCAGATCTGGTTTCCTCGGTGTGTATGCCCAGAAGTGGGATTGCTGGGTCATACAGTATACTAACACATATATATGGAATTTAGAAAGATGGTAACGATAACCCTATATGCAAAACAGAAAAAGAGACTCAGATGTACAGAACAGACTTGTGGACTCTGGGAGAAGGCGAGGGTGGGATGATTCAAGAGAACAGCATCGAAACCTGTATATTATCTAGGGTGAAACAGATCACCAGCCCAGATTGGGTGCATGAGACAAGTGCTCGGGCCTGGTGCACTGGGAAGACCCAAAGGGATCGGGTGGAGAGGGAGGTGGGAGGGGGGACCAGGATGGGGAATACATGTAAATCCATGGCAAAAAAAAAAAAAAAGAAAAGAAACCGTAAAAACCCATATGATATTTAATGTTATATATAAGAGAAATAAAAGTAACAAAATAAAATAACATGTATTTCAATATGTCAATGCTTGGGTACAGCTTCGCTGGAAAACATGAAGTAGTCAGATGCTTGCATCTATATATAGGCTCACCATAAATGTGATAGCCACAAATGAATATGTGTTTCTGGAAACAGATACCCCAAGCAGTATCCACCATTAGTGTTATGAGTCTCAAAAATGGCAAACAACTTTAAAAAAGTTCTGATCAAAACTGATACTTCCGTGAATTTACACAATGCTTCCATTCCTGTAAAACATCTGTTCAAATGCTTATACAAGTTTCCCACTTACATTAATTTCTTGGGGGACATTTAAAAGATGTGCAGAATATGAAATAATTTTTTATTAAGGAAGACTGTCCATATATAGATGTCCATAGAACATCTAGCCTCCCTGGTCCCTGCCTAGTGAAGGTCAGTAGTACTACCAATCTTCATGACAAACAAAAATGTGCTCACAAATTTGCAAATATCCCTATGGAGCAGTATCACTGTCTCTGAGGACCACTCTTTAAGTGATACGCAGCTATTTTTTAGGTTAATAAAGAGCCAATGAAAAATTATAAAGAAAAAAAAAGAAAAGAAAAATTATAAGTAGCAGGGTATTCACACAGCAGTGGTTTGGAAGACAGCCCTCAATGGCATTGTACAGATTGAAATAGGTAGATATTAATGGCTCAGGGTTCATTAGGGGACTGTTGCAGTATTTCAGATAATAGAAAATAAAAGCCTAGATTAAGATCATGGCACTACAAAGGTAGAAGAATCAGAATCCGGAGACAGTCTAAAGCAAAATGAAAAAAAATTGAGAGTCAATTATATATAGATTGGGTAAGAGAGAGGAATGCAGAATGGCTCTGAGCTTTCTAATTTGGGAGATCAGATAAGTGATAACACCATTAGCCATATTAATGAATACAAGAAGAGCAACAGATTGGAAGAACAAAAGGCAGAAGCTAAGTTAAATTTCATTTCATGAATATATACAGCTTGAAGAAGCTGCAAGGCATTTTTTGCTCTCACCCAATTTACTACCAAGTATGTATTTACTACCAAGTATGTAGTTAATACAAGTATGTATTAAGTACCATACAATAGTATATATACTTGTTGATTACCATACATGTACCTGTCACTGGGTTTGTAGCAGTAAGACAGTCATGCTCTCTGCTCTCAAGAAGTCCACTATCTAATGAAAGAGTAAGACATTTCAACCAAAAATTACACACATAATTATCTGATCGTAATGAGAGTTGGTGCAGTTGTGATAAATACATTAAAGAATTTGGCATCCAGTGAAAAGTTGACCTAATTAATCTGGGCAATAAGGAGATGGCTCCCCCACCAGAGAGGCTCTAGTTATTTTTATGCCCTCCAGCTTCTCAATCACACTTCTTAATGTCACTCTGCATTGCCAGGGTATGACACGGGTTGAGAATTATTGAAATGACCTATT